ATATATATATATATATATATATATATATTTAGAGAGAGAGAGAGAATAATAAATGTTTCTACTAAGTCCTGCTAAGGATGATGGGATACTCACAATATTCATCAGGGTGAGGAGATAGTTTTGCACATGCTCTTTCCCATGGAAACGGACAACAGTATCATCTACCCCAAGCAGCACCTCAATGTTGTAGTCATCATCACCACCAGCGTGTCTCCGCCTCCTGACTGTCTGGTTGACTTGTTTAGCAATATTGTCCAGCACTCTTGGTGCATCCAATTCAGGCTCTGCAAAACAAAATGGTTAGTCTTAAGAGAGCACCTTATCTTCATCATTGTGCAAATCTTATCTTCATCATTTGGCAACAACACCATACTAACAGAAAAAAATGGTACTAGCATCCTGCAAGTTTTTTCACATAGTGCAAGCGGATGCCAGCCAAGAACAACAGAAAGCAATCCACAAGGGCTCTTCATGATCCAACATGCTATAAACCAATGCATTTTTTAAACGCTGATGCTAAAATAAATATTTCAAACATCTTGCTCTCTGGCTGGCTCTGGTCTACAGTGTGGGGATTGTGAGGAACATTCCTCAGCTCCTACATCCCGTCATGACACACGCATTCTTGTGTGGCCCAGCTCCCAGAAGTAAACACTGTCTTTAAAGTTCCACTTCAAAAAGCACAGGGCTTCCCCTCACACTCAGACGTGTGTCCCTCGCAGGTTCCCTGGTCCACAGCGTCTCCATGCATGCCCTCATTCTCCTGAGGGGCTGTCTTTCACAAATGGTAAAGTGAGGATAGCACACAAATGGCAAACCTGCCTAACCCGTTGGCCTCAGAAAGAAAGAAAGAAAGAAAGAAAGAAAGAAAGAAAGAAAGAAAGAAAGAAAGAAAGAAAGAAAGAAAGAAAGAAAGAAAGAAAGAGATTTGATACAAGAAAGAATTATAGCATTTGTGTGTAAATCATAACCTTCTTAATAACCTCTAGTCCGGTTTTACCAGGCCTCAGAAGGAAAGCGTATTTATAAACGTACAGAAAATGTCTTATTGAAATTGTAAAAATGCCAAACATTTTCAGGTCCAGGATTAAGGGACACAAAATATCATTAGCTCAGTATAACAACAAATGCTTTTTCCACTATGGTAAAAAGCAAACGTGTGTGTGTGTGTGTTCACCTCAACTCAATCTCATTTCAATTCTTCGCTCATAAAACACGACTTTGTGGGTTAGCCTTGCCAACCTCGCTCTGCACAATAAAAACTCAGGAGGCTGTAGACTGCTGTGGAGGAGAAATTGAATGCATACATATCATCTTTTAAAACGATGACACAAAGAAACATTTGGAGTACCTTGAGCATTGGTTCAACTCTTTGGTTTTACATAATTACCACATGGCCTCATTATATTTCAGAGTGCTAAATATCACATCCATTCCTCTCCCAGAGCAAAAATCTACATGGAAGTCTACTTAAAAGAGTAAGGGTTTACATAAAAGCATGATTTTACATGATAACATACATAGTATTTTTAACGTAAAAATCGCACATGCTGTCAGAATGAAAGCATTTGTGGGACAAAATAAACCAATTGAACTGACAGTACACGGCAACATGAAATCCGCTTACTGACATTTTTGATAAACAAACTGGGCATGCTAAAACCATGTATGAATCCAATTACCTTTCTATACAAGGATATAAAAGGCTTCAATGCAGTGTATCTAAACAGGAACAGTGTAACAGGATTTCCCTTCTTTTTTTTTCCTGTTCTTTCTCGGTTTAGAAAATAGGTCCCACTGCTCTCCTTAAAGAAAACTTGTGTTAGGATTAACGACCATGTCTTTGATGGGTGAAGGTGGTTTTCTTTCCCTGGAAGTATAAACAATTAGCAGGCAACAGCATGCTAATAATAAACAGCATCGGGATCAAAAGATGCTGCAGGAGGCATCTCCTACATTTTTTCCATGTGGCACTCTAGGATAACACCACTAGCTGTGATCTAATGTGCTGGGAGCTACTTTAACTCTTTATTAGGACATAAGCGAACTCTTGTAAACGAGAGCAGCTGAGTTAGCAAGCGTTGCCCTCCTAAAGCTGGAGTACGACAGCGGGGGGTTACTGTACTAGGGCTTCAAAAACACACTTGGCCTTACTGGAGGCTGTCAGTTGATCTTTAACTTTTAATTGTGACTGTAAATATCTTCTGGTGATCTTAATTAATTCTTATCTTTTTCTGTTTGTTCAAAGGGTCTTTGTACATGAACAAAGGAGTCTATATCCATTATGCTAAAAAGATATATTTCTCATAAGGTGTCAGATAAAACAGAATCTACTCTTTAACTATCAACTATGCTGGATCCATTAAGACGAGAGAGAAAAATTATTTTCTTTATCCCACTGAGACTTGATGTCATCTGTGATTTCTGGTGTCAATTCATTCTCTTCCACAGTGAATGCAGTTATGAGGCAAATCAGTTTTAATTATTATCCCATTCATGTCATCTGGCCTGCATTTTAGAACGAACACAAACTGAATGTCAAAAGTTTCCCTATTCTTAATGATTCTGTAGTTTAGAATGAACAGGAATAGAATGTCGAAAGATGTCTATATGAAAAAGAAAGTATTCATATGTGTGTATGTGTATGTATATGTATATGTATATGTATATATATATAAAATAGTCTTCAGTTTACACATCTGTTAGCTACATTTACACTAGTTCGTGTTTGTTTTAAAACGCATAGCTCAAGACAGAATCATAATTTCTATTAATTTTCCACTGATTTACTGATGAGCATTAGCAGTCTCTAGCGCTGTCTGCCTGTGCTCTCTCGTCCATGATTCCTGCTCTGACTCAGAGGTAATAACATTTAATTTTAAGCAATAATAATGCCATTACTAAAGAAAGAAACCCAATTAACAATTGCGCAACACATCATCTGTTAAAACATAGTTGTTTTTCATCTTCACGAGTCTTTCACAGAGCCGGTGCCGAGGAGGTGTGTGGTTGTTTTTCGCAGTCATTAGGACTACTGTTTTTAGATTTACTAAATATAGTAGGCAAATATTTTTTCAAAATGCACTGAAAATCTAAACCTGAGAAACAGTAATAAAAGTTTTACTAAGTTTTAATAAAATGATTTACAGTGATGCTGTTTGCCAGCTAGTATGCTGACCATCCAATCAAAGGACGAGAAAATGCTGACGTTATCGATAGCCAGCTAGATGGCCCTGGTGCTGCCAACTCGAAATCTGATTGGTTAAAGCAACGGTTTCATTGCCATTGATTTAAGCTAACAGACGCCTGCACTGTTGATTCTGAAGGCCTTAAGGCAGATTTTTTTGACCCTGGCAACACGATTGCTGAAATATGATTGGATAAAAGCTCTAATATAAACATACACTGCTGGAAGCAGTGCAACTAAGAGAAAAGCTATGAAATGAAGAGAATAGAGTCGTACCACGCAGTGGAAAAGTGCCATATGTGCCGGGGCTCAGACCCAGACAGCCCCGGCCCAATTTAAACCCTGGTCTTATGTAGCATGATGCTACAGCGTGCACACGCTTTCAGTCTTGTAGTATGAACGGACATCTGCATATGATTGGAACTCTACCCAGCTCCCGCGCTACTCTCCATTGGAAATGAATGACTTTCGGTCTGTCATTTGTCGGAGATAGTGGAAAGCGGGATTGAAACGCAGTGGAAACGCCAGTATGACGAGGATCGTTTTCATTTTAAAACAAAAACACACCAGTGTAAATGTAGCCTTACAGCTATGGGGACTGGGACGCATTCACACTAAATCCTCAGGTGTGAGCCACATCTCTGAGTGTGGCGTGAGACGCGGACCAACTGCGCAGACCTATTGGTGTATTACAGTACCACGAGCAGACTGCCTTCTCTGACTTTGACCCTCTGCCTGATTATCAACATCTGTTTAAAACCTTGACCTTTAATAAAGTTCCGCTCATGGATTCTAACTAAACTCCAGCGTCTCGGTTACAGAATACTTCGCCTCCTATGAATCCAGCGGAAGTGTCGAATCTGCAAGCAGCATTTTCATACCGAGCTGAAATGCTCCAGAAATATCAGGAACAACTCGCCAAGCTGCAGACGGTCAACGAATACCTGACGCACTACATTCGATCTCTCCCTACACCCACTCCTCAGACCAGTCCATGTGCTGATCGAAGTATTGCCAGTTTATCTGCCTTACCAAGCGTTATTCTTCCTCTGTTCCTGCTTGATTTCCTGTGTATGATTCTGCCTGACTTCTTGACTCACTGTATTTGTACTCTGCCCCTTTTGTTCTGACGCCTGATAGGACTGATGTTTGTGTTTGGACTCATTGCCTGCCTCTCCACTATTGTCTCTGCTTCTGCCCTGGTGTATGACGAACAATCTGCTTGCTTCTCTGACTTTGACCCTCTGCCTGATTATCGACATCTGTTTAAAGCCTTGACCTTTAATAAACTTCCGCTCATGGATTCTAACCAAACTCCAGCGTCTCTGTTAGAGATGGCAAGAATTAATTTGCATGTTTTTCTTTTTTGCTTAGAATTCATAAATGTGTTTACTTGAAATAGAAATCTTTTGTAACATTATAAATGTCTTTACTGTTACTTTTGATTAAAATAATGTATCCTTGCTGAATAAAAGTTTTACTTTCTTAAAAAGAAAAGCTTGGTGCTCTGCCATCTTTTAAAGGGGTCCTATTATGCTTTTTCACTTTTTCAACTTTAGTTATGGATTCTAACCAAACTCCAGTGTCTCTGTTACACCTGCAGTTACAGATGGATAAATGTTTTGTTTTTAACATAAAACGTTGAATACTGATATTTGAAATCATTTAAAACATGAACAAAATAGTCGAAATGTGAAATTAAAACCGCCAGTAGGTGGCAGCAAGTGACTGTTAATGTGTGAGTCATTGAGATTCAACCGATTCGTTCAAACGACTGATTCATTCAGATACAAAGCATTTGACTGTGTTAATGAGTGAATCACTGAATCATTTATTCAACTGATTCGTTCAAAAAGCTGATTTGTTCGATAAGTAAACACCATTGCTCAGAGACGCAAAACAGTGCTGTGATCTTTGTTTGGAACTAATTTTGTTGGCAAAATGGAGCAAAAACAAGCAATATTATGTCTAAAATGTAAGTCACTTATTGCTTTACTGAAATTGTATAAAATGAATATTAAATGAGTTGCATGATCTGCAGAAAAACGGTACTCTTTGCGTGATATAGATTAAGTTAACTATATTAAACTATATAAA